TTTAGAAAATTTAAGAAACATCGATGATATTAATAGTGCCATCGATTGTTTTCCAGCTCTAATTAAAACCATTATACATTGTTGAAAGGTAAACACCATAATTTACGTTTTGTCATATGGCTGTTCTAGGAATTGCTGTTTTGGCGAAGAAAACATCTGGCGTAGTTTCTGGCGAAGTAGTTTCGCACTTGACTCTTCATCATATGGTTCTCCCGAAGTTTCCACATTTTTCACGGTTCTGTCTTCCTTGTTTGTGGAGTGTGTGGAGTTGTGTGCTGCCAACTTTTCCGGACAATAAAATGCTAAAGTAACCTTCCAAACCTGCTAGAAACGAATTTAAAGAAAACCAGAAAAAAACCATTTTAGTTTTGATGTAGTTTTAATCAATATTTTTGAATATATTGTTAACTGAACATTGATAGACAATTATCAATGAAATCGATATTTCTCTCAGCAGCGTTCAAGTACTTTTAAGGCGCTTCGAAATTGTGGCAACATTTAGTTGCCCGTCGCAATCCATAACTGTGAATATATATTAATTAATGTATAATAAGATGTTTGTCGGGTCAAGCAGAAAGCAACTAGCATCCGCTCAGCCTATTATCGAAGGTTGGCATCACTCTCGTTCGTTGTCTTATTGCGATTGCACCCTAAATTGGATTTCACACATCTATATAGATCCCAATTTCATATGCAGCCAAATAAAGATTTTATAACGTTTAATTTAATAAAAGTTGCTTTTTGTTTTACTGGCATTGAAAATTATCAATGACCAAACAAAGTAAAGTTTTCATTATTGTGCTAAAAATGATAATTATCGTATGTGTAAGTCCGAATTAAAATGTCCGTAAGTCCGTAAGTGAATTGAGTTCCTCAGCTTAGATTTTAGAATGTTCATCTGGCTAAAAACTCGTTCGACTTCCGCGTTTGACCAAGGCAGCGATAGTAATTTAATCACAAACGAAGCTAACGCTTCAAATCGGTGATTACCTTCCGATTCCACACGTTTAAGGAGTGCTGCCAAAATTTTAAATAATACTATAGGTGGCTAGTTTAATTTAAAAAAATGGCAAATTTCCTGCCAGCAGCAAGCTCAAAATTTTTCCTGCATTTGACGGTTGAAAAATGCCAGATCTGGCCGGTAAAAGGCTAAGTTGGCAGCACTAGCTGTTGGTGTCTCCGCAGACTACACAGACAGCTCGAAGTATGCAGTACGACCTAGTGAGTCCATGCTCTTGGCACTTAGTGCATTGCACAGAACCATTGCGTTTATGTGGCACTACCACAGTGATTCTGCGATGAAAAAGATATGTCAGGTTGTAAGTTGGATGGACTTTGTTTTTCTTCAACGACCTGCTTTCTGGCTCAAGCTTGACTTTGTGGCTTGACTTTTTGTCTTTCTTTAGAATATTACATTCTTCTTGGCGGCAGAGCCCGTTTTTTTAAGGATGGTTTTTATATGCGCGGCGGTGACGTCGGGTTGTCCGTAATATAATTTGAGTCTTTTGGCTTTTAACGGTCAGTAGAGCCGAGTTGCTTTTTAACGTCGATTTTTTTTTTTGCATTTCAGAATCGCGGTTTGAGAACTAAGTGTAGAAACCGTTTCTTTGGTTTACGCTCATTCTTTTCGTTCTTCATTGAGCTAATTGGCGTGGCACTTATTTATTTAAAGGAATTATCTACCAGTCTTTGTTTTAACACATCGCAAAAAAATGTGTCACACATCAATTCTTGTCTATTGCTTTTATTAGTTGATGGTTTTGAGTCTTCTCTTATCTTGGGTAACGCCAGATTTTTGGTTAAAAAAACAAATTTAATAAAATTAAAGTACAAATTTAGTACAAATTTAATCTGTACTAAGTTTCAGCTTTCTTTTTCAAAATCACGAAAGTTGGGTCATTTCCGATTGGTCAGTTATATGGCAGCTATAGGATATAGTCGGCCGATCCTTACGAAATTTAGCATGTCGTATTATTTTGCCAAAAATATGTTAAATTGGAAACCTCTAACTGTAAAAAGACCGAAGTTATACCATTTCCGATCAATCAGTTATATGGCAGCTATAGGATATAGTCGGCCGATCCCGGTCGCTCCGACTTATATACTGCGTGCAAAGGAAAGAAGGATGGATGCAAAGATTCAAGTCGATAGCTTTAAAACTGAAAGACTAGTTTGCGTAGAAACAGACAGACGGAAATGTTTATATCAACTCAAAAAGTGATCCTGATAAAGAATATATATACTTTATAGGGTCGGAGATGTCTCCTTCATAGCGTTGCACACTTTTGGACAAAATTATTATACCCTCTGCAAGGGTATAAAAAAAAGTAAGTCATATAAAAAAAAATCGAACGTGTGTCGATAGATCTTTTCGAGTTATGTTTCCGGCAGTGTCAAACAAAAAGTGGTTTCGAGAAAAACGCGCTTAAAATTTTAAGTACTGTGGGATATACCTGTGAGGCATCGCCGCAGAATGGAAAATTTTACAATTTTACTTGATACTTTTGCTAGACTTTATCTTAGGATATGTTATATTTAAGACTAAAGAATTTTGTAGGCTAAAAAAATGTTCGATTTTTTAAAAATGTTACTCAGATGACCCCTAAAATTATATAAATGGTATGGTGTATCGACGCGAAGCTCAGTAACGATAATTTCTGCAGCCTATACAGAAGAAGCAGACCCGTACGCTATACGGAAGAAGTGACATTAGTGATTATTTACATTGAGTACACTGAATACATTTATAAATTAAATATCCGTTTTGGAAAATATCGAGAGTTTAAAAAGAGATTAAAAATTAGAGTCGAGATTAGAGGTCTGCAGGAATACATTCTTATTGCCTCAGCCATAGAATACATCCGAATGGAATAGAATGAATGAGTGCAAGTGACACAACGAATTGAGTGAGAGGGAGTTAGAGAGTGAGAGAGCATCCTAACTCATGGGCATTGTCTAGCTTCGAAACTGAGTGAGTTGGGGTGGGAAGTAACAAGGGTATATCAACTTCAGCTCCGCCCGAAGTTAACTTTCCTTTCTTGTTTTTATTTTTCTTTTCTTTTATTAAATCTCTAAATGATTTTTTTTTTGGACCATAGTAGGGAACCATTCTTGTGGAATGGACACCATAGACCCATTCTTCCATTGATGAATTAACCCCGCTGGTGTTAACTGTCGCGTCCTATTTCTTTTATATGGTCTTAATTGGAGTTTTAGAGTATACTATTTAGCTTACGAGTATAATATTAAGCTTAAGAGTTTAATATATAGCTAAAGTGTATAATATATAGCAAGAGTATATTTAGCTTTGTGGTATAAAAAAAAATGAAATTAAAAAAAGATTATAATTCTACTACTACAAAAAGTAATAATTAAAAAAAAAATAAAACAAAAAAAGAGTAGTTCTCAGCTCAGCTTTATGTTTCAAATTGATAAAACAAAAAATAGGAGCTCGGAGGACCTTACGGAGGATTCATGATATAACGTTTATAAAGCTTGTGGTTAAGAACGCTAAACTGGTTACTAATGTGCACAAAGTTTGACTGAAACAAGCACCCTGACTTAAGAAACTTTTTCTGAGCTCTTGATTTCCTGTTCTTAAGACGAGAACGGAGTTTATGAAACCAATGTGGTTTTGTTTATTAAACCAAGAACAATGATGGTAAGACTTCAGACCACATTGAAGGATGTCACATTGAAAAATATAAGGTCCAGAAATCTCCCATGAGTGTTATGGATTTCGTTAAGTGGGATAATGCAAAATCAGTTAAGCCATAAATAAAGTCATAATGACAAGCAGGGAATTTCCATCCTCATACAAGATTCAGGCAATGAGGCGAAGGTTGAAATCGCCCATAATTAAGAATACATAGGCATAGGCATACATCATAGGCATTGACCAACGAAAAAGAGTGTAAATTTTTACTGCAAGTTCAGCTCAGTATTCATTATTAACAGATCACCACCTGCAAAATATTGACGATCAGTTGACGAAACACAGTGAAGTTGGGAAAAAAAATTTCATATTCACAGACAGAGGAATTAATCCAATTTTTAGTAAGCGCAATAGTATCAATATCAAAAGAAGCACTCTTTGTAAAAAATTGGACAAACTTGATCAGGCCAAGGAACAGGAACAAGTGCTTTTTCGAGGTAGGAATCAGGTAGGACTATTTTGAAAGCCATTTATCACAGCTATTTCATTAGGAGCTTTTTTTAGTTGAACAGATTTTCCATGACGTTACCAACGCATGCCGGATGCCACCGGCATAAGGTAAGGGACAAGGTGGCTCAGGTAGGTGGTTCCAGATTCCAAAAAATTAAAATCTGGAATTAAGACCAAGAAATTAGGTTTCAAGTGCAAGGAATTGCTCAATATGGGCCGATGAATCGTAATATTTAAAATTGTCGCGAAAAGTGGAAACATCAATTCGCAAATCAAAGATATAGGCAATCTGCCGAAAGCGTGCAAAGAAACATGTTTCTAAGACATCAAACTCCAGCAAACAAGTTTTGAACCGAATATTTCTGCGATGGTAGTTAAATTATTAAATTAACGAAATTATTAAATTAGGTTATAATTTCCTTTGCTTTATATAAATTCATATACACATATATATGTATTTATGTCGGTAACAAATTAGAGGTCAAATGTTTTTCGTTCATTTTCGTTGTATGAAATGGGTTGTCTACATGCTGTATGGTTAGTGATGTTATCTACTAATCGTTATTTACAACTCCGAACTCAAAAGGTAAAAGGGCTGTAGTTAAATATTTTATTAAGTTTATTTTATTCTAAAACTTACTCACACCCAATTTTAATGTTTTTTTGCGTATATAGCAGAGCTAATTTTCACATATATATATTAAATAAAGTATTTTCGATGATCACAATAATAGATGTATATATTTTTAGGCTAGGCTATATATTTTAAGTAAATTTTTTATTTAATATACTAAAAAAAAAATTTATTTGTATATAATTTTATTTTTATTCTAAGCAAAATGGTAGCAGCTGAGAAGGTTTTATACAAAAGATTTACTGCTGAGACGCATGGACATGATCTTCAGGCATTGTCACCACCACAAACACTGGTTGACTTTTCACCAAACTTTCGTCGAAACAATAGCCAGTCTGGAGATGAAGGAATAACTCTTTGTGATACCATATCCAGAAAAACATTGTTTTACTTAATTGCAACTTTAAACGCTTCTTTTGAGCCCGATTACGACTTTTCAGAGGCTAAGGTAACTATATTAAACTGTTTTTATAACCGGTACTCGTACAGTACAAGGGTATATTGTAGTCCTGTAAATGTTTCAACTTAAAGAAGGAATCGTCTCTGACCCCGTAAAATATATATATTCTTGATCAGCATTAACAGCCGAGTCGATATTGCCATGTCGGTCTTTCCTCCCGTCCGTCTGTCTGTCCGTCCGTCAGTCTGTAAGAGAGAGCTAAAGGCTTTGGCATGGAGACTTGAAACTTGAAACTTTGCACACACCCTTCTTTCCTTTGCACGCAGTATATAAGTCGGAACGAACGGAATCGGCCGACTATATCCTATAGTTGCCATATAACTGATTGATCGGAAATGGTATAACTTCGGTGTTTTTAGAGTTAGAGAGTTCAAATTTGACAAGAGTGATATTTTTGGCAAAATAATACGACATGCTAAATTTCGTCCGAGGATCGGCCGACTATATCCTATAGCTGCCATATAACTGAACGATCGGAAATGACCCAACTTTCGTGTTTTTGAAGATAGAAAGTCTGAAATCGGCCGGAACGGCCGGAAAGTCGGAACGGCCCGGAACGGCCGACTATATCCTATAGCTGCCATACGACTGATTGATCGGAAATAGTATAACTTCGGTGTTTTAAGAGCAGTGGAGGGCAAAACTAAGACATGTTTAAAATTTGAGTGTGTACGTATCAGAGAAAAACAATGAGAGCAGAGAATTCACTGAGCGCAAAAAACTTATTTTTTAATTTCATTTTTCGTTAATTCAAAAGTTGGAAAGGGCACTAAAATTGAGTATTTTATTTTAAAAAAAGCTTTGCTAGCAACATTTCTTAAAGGGAGGTTCTTTTGGATTTTTTCGAAAATTAAGCAAACTTTGAGAATGGATTGCGGGATAATGAAAAGACATACGAACTTATGCTTTTGAACTTTTGATTCGTTGTTTATTAACAATTGAAAAAATATTCAATATTCAGGAAATTCAAAATGGCGGCTTCAAAATGGCGGATCTCGTAGACCTCTATTTTTCTGCTTTGTCGAGTGTAGGGCCGCTGGTAGTGAACTTAAATAAAAAATGTATATAATTTATTAAAATTGATGGAATTTTCTATGCCTTATACCTAACGACAATTAATTTTGGTAAAAATAAACCAATTTCATGGACGTTTAAAAAAAAAATTCATATTTTCTCTTTTCTTTTACTTTAATCTCGTTTAAAAATTATAAATAAACCATTTTTTATGCCAATTTTAGGTATAAAAAAGAAGGTACTTTTAAACATTTTTTGAATGAAGGAAATCGGATCAATAAAACGAGCTCTGTGCGCGACAAGAGGTTTCAAAACATGGTTCCGAGAAAAACGCGTTTAAAGTTTTTAGAAACTTTGCCTTTAGATAGCTTTCTTGTTATAATGGGTATGTTTGAAACGCTCTAGCTCAAGAAATACGCGTCGCATCGAAATATCCCTTGGCACGTATATTCTACACATATTTAACTTTCATTTTATTTAAAAAAAAAAACGATTTTTTCAAAAAAATCCAAAAGAACCTCCCCTTAAACAAATGAAAAACTACGCTTCATTATCTATATTTTCCATAAAAAAAACGTTTTCCAACCCAATTCCTCAGTAAAAAAATTTTAATTTTTGTTTGGGCTGTCAAATGAATCAAAATGAGACAGCTTCTAAAAAAAATTTGAGAGTGCTCACACTGTCAGTGTGCCGGCAGCGCTGCGGCAGAATTTCCTACCCTATACTCGCGTGCTATGTAAAATGAGAGTTTGCCCACCACTGTTTTAGAGTTAGAGCGTTCAAATTTTACACGAGAGCCATTTTTGGAAAAATAATTCGACATGCCAAATTTCGTAAGGATGGATGGCCTACTATATTCTATAGCTGCCATATAACTGAACGATCGGAGATGACCCTACTTTTGTGTTTTTGAAGATAGAAAGCTGGAACTTGGTACAGATTTTAGCTTTGATCAGTTAATCCGACCTACCAAATTTCATAACGATCGGTCGACTATATCTTATAGCTGCCATATAACAGAACCATCGAAAATGGTTTTTGGTAGAAATATCAACTTTCGTGTTTTTGAGGATAGAAGTCTGGGACTTTTTTTTAGACATTTTATTGTAATTAATTGGTTTTATTATGATATTCTTATAAGGATCGGCCAACTATATCCGATGTTTGAGATATATATCCGGTTTTAACTGCAAAGGTATATCAACTTCAGCTCCGCCCGAAGTTAGCTTATCTTTCTTGTTTTATTTTATTTTAAACTGTTTGCTCTATCGATGGTGGTAAGCTTCCAGTCCAGTTGCCTGACTAGCATAATTCCTAGCATAAGAAGTCTGGGACTTTTTTTTAGACATTTTATTGTAATTAATTGGTTTTATTATGATATTCTCATAAGGATCGGCCAACTATATCCGATGTTTGAGATATATATCCGGTTTTAACTGCAAAGGTATACCAACTTCAGCTCCGCCCGAAGTTAGCTTATCTTTCTTGTTTTATTTTATTTTAAACTGTTTGCTCTATCGATGGTGGTAAGCTTCCAGTCCAGTTGCCTGACTAGCATAATTCCTAGGTACTTAGCAATACCAGTGAGAATCTTAAACTTGGTAGTTTATACTTCAGAGTCCTCACCCTCATTTCGTTAGCTCCCTTTTGTCAAAATTCCTTGTTGAATGTTCCTACAAGCATGATAAAATAATAATATAATTGTATACAATTGTACATGATAGATTTATAATTGTATCATGCCTACAAGGATCTATCTAGTTTATTTTTGTAGAGCTCCCGAATTTGTTCGAGTGAAGTTCTCGAATTTGACGACTTATTCTAGGTATCGGTGATCTAAAAAAGTGTTTTTCTAGGACATTCTAGCAAACATATGTGTGTGATAGATAGACAGTCTAAGTAAAGAGTAATGTCAAGTACCTCCCTTCTCCCACCGTAAAAACGTTTCGTACAGCGGCTAATGAAGTTGAATTTTAAATAATATATTTGTACATGGTCGACATGCTATTATCAGCTTACAAGTAGCTTACAATTAAATAATAATTGTCTTAATTGTCTTGCGTAAGAAAATTTTAAAAATGCTTCTTGTTTGGGTCGCGCAACTTTGACCGTATCGACACATGCGAATCGGTGCTGGATTCGCAGACAAAGGCGACGGGGTGTGAAGTATATGGTGACTGGCGATGAAAAGGGGGTCACTTACGACAACGTGAAGCTCGAAACGTGATGGACGAAGTCAATCCTATCTATAACCTAATTTAAGTCAAATAACTGAAAAGATCACAAGCCTGCCAAGCACAAATAATGTAAATACTACACGCTTCGATCAGTTGCTTAGCTTAGCTCTACACCAATCAATTCATGCACCAAGAAAAAAAAAGTGGCAACTGTTGAGAAAGCCACAGAGTCAAGTACAGAGCCTACGCCGTTTACAAATCCAAATGTAGAACGTAAGTATTTCCAAAACCTCGCCAAAACAGCCGAATCTTTCTTAGGTAATTCTTTATGAAAAGATGGAAAAGATAGTTCGCCGATAGAAGTGAAGTGATGTGATGTCACTCAAAAGATCGACGGCACCCAAGAAGTTATTCAAGGAGGACTCATGCAAACTCTCCAAAGTCCTAAAGCAAAATGCTGAAAATGCAAATCGCAAGTACATAGAAAAGCTATCACTATTTTAAGATTTCCTCTACGGCAAGCGCATACAAATTTATGCACGCCCCAATCAGAAACTTCATATTAGAAAACTTGACCCGCAGTGAAACAGATCGAGCTAAAACCCATAAATGACATTAAAACTGCCGAGTTGCAGTCTAGAGGCTATCTGCAAACTTTTTGACTGGATTACAAGCCTATAGGCCTATCCAAAAAAAAAAATCGGTCATACTACTACATAATATATATACCATTCAGCCATCTATCTCTTCAAACTCTTCCAGAAATGACTTATCTCACATAAAACCATACATCGAAATCCAAAAAAATTATCCCGACCAATTCCCAGATCACTTTAGCTTTTGTAAAAAAACCAACCGGATAACAAGAGAAATACGCAATGCCACTAGGCACTCATCTTTGCGGAAATGTAAAAAGGATCGACATTGGCATTATCTAGTGGACGCAATAGAAAATAATGAATCACTCTGGTTTTATTTTTACAACGATAATGTCCAAAAAGATCTCGGCATCCCGCAAGTATCAAACAAAATTTCAAGACTAAAAGTGACTTATAAGGGTACACAAATGATTCACGTTTTTACTAATTTTTAATTATTTTTGAATAATTTAAAAATATTGCTCTGTCTAAGGCTCGATTTTGGGCCATTAGAGAAGCATGTTGAACCGCTTTGCACTAGATTGGGACAGCCTGAAGGGGCTTAAAGGTAAGACAAACTAGGCTTTTTGTTTTAAATAAATTGAGGAGTGAACAGACACAATCATAAGACAAGAAGGGAAAGATAAGATCACAAAGCGAGCTAGACCTAATATAAATTTAATTTATTTTAGTTTTTCCTTACTGCGATCGGTGACGTCACCAGTGGTGTCATTTCCGCTTTTTTCCCGTCAGATCTGGGTTTTTTTTAAAGCGTGATTGCGGGAAAAATATGAAAACAGCGGGCAGCGGGAATTCTGGCTTTTTGAGCAAATTTACGCACCTTTTTTTTTTTTTGTTTACTTTTTGATGCATTCTCTGTTGAAAATATTTTAACAATCAAAAAGAAACAAATCTCTCCAATCCTTGAGTATTTTGGTACTCCTAATATAGATAAAATTTAACGACTGTACAACGACATAACCATGGTAGAGTGGGAAAATATCGATAATACTGTTAAGTTCTGGGCTGAAGTTCTTAAATATCTGGATTCTGGCGGAAACTGCCGTTTTCAGGAATTGGCTTCAGTTGCTCTGCAAATGCAGTCCTGCCTTGGTCGAATGCCGACGTCGAGCGGTTGTTCAGCCAAGTACATTTAATAAAAACGAAAATTCGAAATAACATGAGCTTTGAAACGTTAAACGCTATACTGAGTATAAGGTCCATATTTTAATTTGTATCTTAAAATTATAAATTAATTTACTTAAAATTTAAGGTACGGGCTGCGTCGACACAATATGTGCTGTTTTAACTATAATATACCACCCAGCTGCCTATCTACAATTGAAGACAAGAAATTGTATCCAACTGATGATGATGATAATATTGACGACATCTTAAATATAATATAGATCTTAATTTTTGTACATTATTGTTTTTTTTTTGTTTCTTTGTAATGATATCCGTTAGAGAATTACCCATATATTTTATGTTAAGTGGAACTGAGGTCTTATTAGTGAATAACATCACTAACCATACAGCATATAGACAACCCATTTCATACAACGAAAATGGACGCGAAAATTTCTTGCGACAGGCCCCAGCAGGCCCCAGAGCGGATTTCTTACGCTCTCTTACGCTCATCGTTCGTTCATCTTACGCTCATTCTCGCAATAAATGTTTTCTGTTTCTAGTCTCTAAACGGAGCGCGATGAAGAAGGTTGGCCTGCGCTTGGTTGATCTTTGTTGTATGGTGTCCATTCCATACATGGGTGTATGTGTGCGTGATTTTTTAAGCCGGCACAAAATTTTGATTTTTTTCTTTTAAGGCTTGCTACCTAACAAATTCGGGTATTCGTTATTTGATGAATGACGAAAGAAATTATATTATTTTTTTTTTTTTTTTATTATTTCGCATACATTTTTAATTTATTTAGGAATAAGATTAAGTGTTAGTAGTAAATGTTTTCTGTATATATATTTTTACGAATCATTAAAAATCAATATACTGAGAAAGTGTCGGTATATTTCGGTGGGTCCTTAAGGCCGATTGTTTTAGTTTTGTTGTTCTGCAGAGGCTTGTGCATGCCTACTCTAACGATGGAATGATTTTTAGGGGAGGGTGAAGACACGAAAACAGCTGATGGACTTGTTTACCTTTTTGTTTACAATTTTTCAGGCACTTGTTATTATATTTTGGGTTATTGTGAGATTTAATTAAATTATTGTCGTTAATTTAATAATTTCCTTATATATATTTCCTTATATATAATAACTTTAAAAAGTAATTTAATTCTTCACCCGTCTTCACCCTCCCTAAAAATCATTCCATCGTTAGAGTAGGCATGCACAAGCCTCTTGCAGAACAACAAAACTTAAAGCAACGGCGCTTTAGTGACTCCGACCGAAATATACTCTGACACTTTCTCAGTATATTGATTTTTAATGATTCGTAAAAATATATATACAGAAAACATTTTACTACTAACACTTAATCTTATTCCTAAATAAATTAAAATGTATGCTGAAATAATAAAAAATATAATATACAAAATAATATAATTTCTTTCGTCATTTCATCAAATAACGAATATGAATTTTGTTAGGGTAGAAGCCTTAAAAGTAAGAAAATCAAAATTTTGTGCGCTGGCTTCGAAACGAAATCGCACGCACACATACACCCATGTATGTGATGTGTGACACGCATACATACAAAGATCAACCGAGCGCAGGCCAACCTTCTTCATCGCGCTCCGTTTAGAGACTGAGAAACAGAAAACATTTAATGCGAGAATGAGCGTAAGATGAACGAACGATGAGCGTAAGAGAGCGTAAGAAATCCGCTCTGCCTGCTGGGCCTTAGAAATTTTCGCGTCCATTTTCGTTGTATGAAATGGGTTGTCTATATGCTGTATGGTTAGTGATAACATGCAGTACATTGCCTTATAAAAATCAGTTTTTTTCTTAACTTTTTTTCTCTGGTATTCCGTTTTTTTTTAGCTTTTTTTTTCGTTGATCCAGTTTTTTTTGCTCAGAAAAAAGTGACACCACTGGACGTCACTGGTGTGAGAGATGAATGGGATCCCAGGCGGTTGCCGAGGGAGTTCTACCTTCTTATCGGGAAGTTGTGTTGGGAGTTACTAACTCCGTTGCTACGGCCTTTAAGCCACGGTAACCAATTTTATAAATGAATTGACTCTAACGGTTGAGCTGGAGTATTATGAGTTATTTATTGTTTCAATTATGAGTTGTTTATTGTTCGAAGCTCATATACAAACTGACTTAAAGCTAACAAAAATTGTTTTTTATAGCGACCACGAACATTTTCTGTGTTCGCCGGCTATGCACAAGCCGGCCAGACGCTGTGTCAGCAGTTTGGCCAGAGCGAGCTCTTGGATAATCGGTCATCGCCGTCGCGCGGTTAACTTAGTAAACTTATATACTTGAAATTAAGTGGCACTTTATATAAGACATGCATATGTATATTGAATTAGATATACATCGTAAATATAGTTTACTTTTCCATATGAGAATTTAAGTATCAATACTTTATATAATTAAAAAAAAATTGTAAAAAAAAAGTCATTTCTGATCAGTGTTTATTTCATTCTATTAAATATCTTGTTTGACTTTAAAACAATCAACTTTTATGCTATTATTTGTCGTTTATTATCATTTACCATTGTTATTATCTTTTTAAGATTTATAAAATTTTTTATTACAGTCGCATGAATTCAGCAAGGAACCATCATTGCAGTGGGTTATGAACTCAATACATTCAAATCTATCTGCGCTTGCAGGAGATCAATATCAAATTATTCGCCAACCATTATGGTCTGCTGTTGACGATGAAGTGAACTTATCAGAATGTGACATATATAGCTATAATCCAGATTTAAGTTCTGACCCTTTTGGGGAACCCGGATGCGTGTGGTCATTTAATTATTTCTTTTATAATAAGAAATTGAAACGGATTGTATTTTTTACAAGTCGAGCTTTAAAGTATGTAAAAATAATTGATCGATATTTAAAATAATGCTATTTTTCTTTCAGTTCTCTTTATGCTGGTGAAACCTCGGACTTCTCAATGGAAGAGGACGTATATTAAAAGAAGCCCTAGGAATTAGCAAAATCAGTTTTCAGTTTAAATAAATAAAGTGTATCGTAATTGAACTAGAATATGAATTAAGCTTCAAATTAAAAAAATGAATATATGTTTGACTAAAATAAGAAAAACAAAATAACTTGATTTTTTTTAAATCCACCATTTTTCATCCACCATGATGACGAGTTGCCGCCATTATTGGGCGGAAGAAGCTTCTCACATGGCCTTTTTGGTATGGTTTATCTTCTAGAAGATGATCTAAATGAGAGCGATCAGTTAACTCCTGAATAGTAGCAAAGGATATTGACCATAGGTCTTTGTATGTAATATACATATTCATCACAAAATCGATCACGGTTCTTAAAATTCAACAAATTTTTAGTTTTTAGAGTCGATTTTGGTGCTGAATTTTTTGTTAAACTAAAACTGAAAACTAGCTCACACCGAATGATTCAATCCTATAAAATAGCGGTGAAAGCACTTAAGCAATCAATCGTTTTTTTAAATGTTAAAACATAGGATTCCATGGGAACTGTATCACCTAAATTTTATGGCCTTAAAACAGTGCACAACGGGCTAGATTGCCGAATAAGTGGCATAAAATCGAATATTTCATCTCTCGAGGTGAGACTTGGCATACTTAAAGAATATAACTCTCTAAATTTTAAAGCTTTAATATTAAACAATATATTTTATGTTTTTAAATAGCTGTCATATAACTGAACGATCGGAAATGAACCCAACTTTCGCGTTTTTGAAGATAGAAAGTACAGATTGTATTTTTGGTCAGTTGATCCGACCTACCAAATTTCACAACGATCGGCCGACTATATCTTATAGCTGCCATATAACTGAACCATCGGAAATGGTTTTTGGTAGAAATACCAACTTTGGTATGTTTGAAGATAGAAGTTTGGGACTTTTTTTAGATTTTGTATTGTAATAAATTGAATTATATCCTTCCCACTCTCGCCTATTCGCTCTCTCGCATTGCAAGCGCCAAACGATGTGAGGGAGCCACCGAGACACGCCGTCTCTCCCCTTCTCTCTCGACTGCCTTTTTTTCTCTCCTGTTTGCTCTATAGCAAACTACCCACGCCGTAATTTATTTGTATATACGGCATTAATTTGAGCGACTGCAGATTAGGGTGAAATTTATCCTGAATAAATGTTGAAATTTAAACTGTAACTCGTTTAATTATTTGGACGCTGCACTATGGGCGATTTTTCATAATGGGCGGACATAATAAAGTCATAAAATTTATGGTGAAATATTAAGGATATGTTTTTTTTATTAGTAGTAAACAATTCAGTTAGCTGAAAAACAATTTTTTTTTATCGGGTGGCTACTCTCTTTTTGTGGCAGCCCTTCAAAACCAGATGATCTGTTGAAGCTCGCAATTATATAAATTGGCACGAAAAATTTCATGCTATTGAAAGTGCTTATTTTATTATTGGTTTCGTTTAAATTAATAAGTGTAATATGGGTAGCAAAGCTCAAGGTATTTTGAATCTTTTATTTACGATAAATGTGTATAAATGTTCGTGGTGTTTTTAATGTCCAGTGTTATTGTTGATTGTATTTTTAGCAAAAATCTAACAATTTTAATTGTGTTCCGTGGAGTATTTCTTGAAAAGTGCATATCAAAACATGAAACTAAAAATGGAAAGTTACTAACGAAAGTGTCTAGTTTATTGTAGTAATCATGTTTTTTGCTCTTTTTTGTTCCTTTAAAAAAAAATGCACTAGAACATCAAACATCAGAGCTGAGTTCATACAATTTTTTTAATGATGAAGACACCGAATCCGACCACGAAAGCGATGACAAACATGAGAATTCTTTTGTTTTAGATGAAGAAGATTATTAACTTTTTGTTTTTTTAAGTTTAGAATATTTTTAAAACATGGTAAAATATTATTTTTTCTATTTTTATGCTTTGCTTTATAATAAAAATTTAAATTTTTGTACAAGTGCCGGGGCTATAAAGGGGCGGAAAATAAAGGCGTGGTCAAATTGACTAAAAAAAAAATCCGAAAACAAACTAAAATATTAGTAACCCTTAAAAAAAAAATTAAGCTCCTAGCTCTATGTGTGGACTTTATGCCGCCAAAATCAACTAATCGCCCATAGTGCGCTGGTAAAATCTGTTTATAGCGTAACATTTTGGTGAAGAATGCAGGCTGCACGCTACAGGAGGAATTGGAGTAGCTAAAATATAGCAAAATGAGAAGTGAGTTATGTTGGAAATTTCCTCAGGTCGCCACTGCCCTCAGCTCGCCACTGAGGTGCACATTGACATGCAGGTGAAGGTTGCCAAGCGCTCCATGAGAGTTGCTGCGCACTTTACGCTTTTTAATGGTGCTGGTATTTTCTTTTTTTTTTTTTTTTTAAAATGTGTATATTTATTTAACATTAACGGGTATACTGCTACCTTTGTGGCAGCTTGAACAGGTTGTAATTTACAGGGGAATATCAATAAGTACGTATCAATGATTATACATTAATTCTATATCTAATTAATTCTATTTTCTATATATAATTCTAAATTATTTTAATTTTACATTTTTAACTACAACGGCTATATGAATCTTAAAGGAAGGTCATGTGGATGGTATCTTTTTAATCTTCTTTTTCTAGGTCTCCATGTTAGCCTCTTCGCTAGGGAGTTAGGATGAAAGCCAAGGCGTTCATGATATTTTTCTGAATGTATACGTATTACATCGCCTATCTTTGGGATTTTAAGATCTCTTTCTATATCCCTAGTTCTCATGAACCAGGGGGCATTACAAATCGATCTGACTATCTTACTTTGCGCTACTCGTATTTTTTTCAGGTTTGACTTAGACGCTATGCCGTAGACTTGTAATGCATACTTCCAGATTGGGCTGAGAATAGATTTGTAGATCCTAACTTTGTTGGAAAGTGAAAGCTTATTTCTTGGTGATAATAACCAGGACATACTTGCTGCCTTTGAAAGCACCGCCTGCTTTATCATCGTTGTGTGCCTCTGGAAGTTAAGTCCTCTATCCAAAATCACACCAAGGTACTTGTAGTAGGCTTCGTGACGAAGCACAGAGCCAAGCATGGAGATGCCTGGGCAGATTTTTGGCCTTGTGGAGAATGTGACACAAGCACATTTGCTGCAGTTGATGCCTATGCTCCAATCTGTAGTCCACTTTTCAAAACGTGTCACGTACTCTTGCAGACCCAAGCTCGCGATTTCTATGCTTGGACTTCTGACCATAACAGCAGTGTCGTCAGCGTACGTTGCGATCAGCATGTTACTATCGTCGACTTGGGTACAGGCCCAGGAGTCTGGCATATCTGATGTGTACAGAGAGTAAAGCGTCGGACCTAGTACACTACCTTGTGGTACACCGGCTGAGATTGGGCGTTTTGACGATTTTTCTCCATCGAAAACCACACTGAATTTTCTCTCCGATAAGAAGCTCTGAACTAGGAGAAAAAGCTGAGGAGTTAGGAGGTTTTTCAGCTTGCTTAGAAGACCATCGTGCCATACCCTGTCAAAGGCTTGTTGTATGTCCATGAACACAGCAACTGCATACATTTTGTTTTCCATGGCTTCAAGAGCGAAATTGACCACGCGATGTAGCTGTTCAGGTGTGCCATGACTCTTTCGAAAGCCAAATTGCCACTTTGGAATAGCTCTGCTTACCCTTTCTAGTGCAAGGATGCGATTCAGAATGACTCTTTCCATCATTTTACCCAATGCAGGTAAGAGACTAATTGGCCTGTATGCATCTACCTCAGTAGGTTGCTTTCCAGGCTTGGGTATCATCGTGATGATAGCATTCTTCCATGCTCTCGGGTAATGACTCAGCCTTAGGACGCTGTTAAACAATAGGACTATAAATAGTAGTGCCTTGATGGGAAGAATCTTCAGCGTTTTATTGTCCAGAAGGTCCTCTCCTGGTGCTTTTTTGTTTTTGAGGTTTCCGATCTGTGCCTTGACTTCTTCCAAGGTTACAGGCTTACAGGGAAGAGCCATTTGAAATGGTCTGTCCAGTTGTGTTTCTACAAACATTCGGTTTTCCAGTGGAGCTAGATCTAGCGGCTTAAATCTATTTTCCAGATTATCAGCAAAGATATCCGCCTTCTGTTGACTTGACCTACACCAACCGCCAGCGGGATTTCTGAGTGGAGCCTTTGGGATGACCTGTCTCTTAAATCGACTTGTGAGTTTCCATAAGGAATAATTGGTAGATGCATCTGGACTCGCATTTTCCAACATCTGGTCTATATGGTCCTGCTTGTTCTTGGTCAGGACTTTGCTTAGCCGGTTTGACAGTCTTTTATAAATCCTGTGGAAGCGAATATCTCCTGTGCTTGTGTATTGTCGACGGACTTTTCTTCTAAGCCGTATGAGAAGTAGAGCATTTTGTGGGAGCAGATTGTTGCTATTGTGATTCGAACGGTGAGTTTGGTTCGGGGTAGCAGCTGTCGCAGCAGTGTGTATATTTTCCATGAAAGCTGCCACCGCAGCTTCAAGATCGTCTGGATGGTTGATAACCGTGTTGAGGTTAATGCTTCTGTCCAGGGACTCCTTAAACTTTTCAACAGAGGAGCCGGGCGGGAGTATTGATTTCTTTTTTGGCTTGCATTGCGGTCTTTGGCTTAGCGTTGCGACGATGGCCAAATGATCCGAGGACAGCTCGTATTTGGTTTCGATTGCAAGTTTGTGGAGTGGTACCCCATTTACGATGAAGAAGTCCAGGGCGGTTGGTGTGAGCCTGGTATTTGAAGAATAGAAAGTAGGTTCCCCAGTAGCTAGAACTTGGCTTGGGCTTGAAACTATGGCCTCTTGGAGACGCTTTCCCCGGCAACAGGACCTTAAATTTCCCCACCATTGATGCTTGGCATTAAAGTCACCTCCAGCTAAAAATTTTGGACCTAGAGAGGCTAGTAGCTGGTCAAAATCTTGTTTTGTCCAAGGCTCGCTGGGCGGAAGATACAAGGAAGCTATTTTAAGTAGACCTCCATTTGTTTGAATTTCAATGCAAGCTAGCTGAAAGTCTGTTCTCGTCGTGGGCTCACTCTGCGTATGGATAATGCCGGTCTTGATAAGGATAGCAGAGCCGCCTTTAGCAGTGTTGCTAGGGTGATTGGCAAAATA